GGTCAAAGGTCAAGGTCACTATGACATCCACTTTGAGTCACGGATAAACTGATCAGAATTTAGAAGTCAAAGATGAAGGTCACTGTGACCTCATCTGTGCATTCATAAACATAAACATTTCTTCAAATTATGCACAAACGTCACCTTTGACATAAAGATGAACTGTTTAGAATGTAGTGGTCAAAGGTTAAGGTCACTGTGACCTTGCATCATCTCATTCTCGTAAAAGTGGTATCTCAAGAACACCTTGTGGGATTTTTTTCAAATTTGGCACAAACTTAAAGTTAAGGTCACTGTGACCTCATCTGTGCATTCATAAACATAAACATTTCTTCAAATTAGGCACAAACGTCACCTTTGACATAAAGATGAACTGTTTAGAATGTAGTGGTCAAAGGTTAAGGTCACTGTGACCTTGCATCATCTCATTCTCGTAAAAGTGGTATCTCAAGAACACCTTGTGGGATTTTTTTCAAATTTGGCACAAACTTAAAGTTAAGGTCACTGTGACCTCACAAACCTTAATATACTGTATACTCTGGTGAAATGTCAGGAAGGTATGGAAGTATGGAAAAATAGATACAGCTCAAGCCTACTTTTGTCACTCAGAATCACCCGACACAAAGTATTCGTTGCGGTTTGATCTCTAACCGATTGCCGGACATTAACCTGAACTGATGCAGCATTTTGATCTGATTCCACGCCAGAATCCACGAACATGGCTTCTTTAATATTGTTTCAAATGTTTATCCTAACAAGTGTGTTTGCAGCATGGAATAACATGCCCAGAATATGCTTGAATATAAAGATGTGTTATTGAAAATGTAGCCACATGTCTATTGTTTGGTGATTTCCTCCCCAGAGTGCTTCATGTGTCTGTTTTACCATCGGCTGTTTGTACAGAGGTCAGGCACAGTGACTGCAGACTCTCTCTGTGTGTCACCACAGGCAGAACGCCTCGTCATTTCATGTGTTACACTAAGAGTTGACATGATCGTTGTGTTTACCTTGGACTCATGGAGCAGGAGGGGCTTATGAATGCTTTAAGTGACCAGTACATGTGAAGATGCCATGTTTGTCTTGCTCAGAGACTGCTGATATTTTGTGAGATGTAAAAAGACACATGTGAACCTGAAGGCATGCGTGTCTGTAGCCTTGAATCTTTTCTCTCTCCATGAATCTTTATTCGATATATATTTCTCGATCTGCAGTATACCTCTGTATTATTCTCTATACAGTAACTTCTTCTTTCACTCTCCCTCTTCCCCAAAGCTCCCATGGCTTTTATTTTCAGGCCACTTTATCAGGGTGATCCTTTGAAAGGAACTCTCTGTGTGTTCTTTACAGACGAAACTGTATCATTTTCTGTTGTGCCATGGATCCCAATAAATTCTACGATACAAAAACAAATCCTGCGTTTTCTTATGTTTGTATCTGACCTGTCGTCCACAGCAAAATTTTGGATTCTAGGTGTCAGCTACATCCAGAGTTGGTTCCTGCGATGTGAAGGAGCATTCATCAGCATCCACATGTTCTGCTGGTGGTAGCCGTGGTTAATAGCACACCCTGAAAAGAGCATTATGTGTTTTACTTACACCAATATTTGGTAGTAATTTCAAACTGGCTTATTTGTGCATCCTTTTTGGAAAATCTGATGCTTGATTTTAATTGGATTTTATTTGTTTATACAGTAACTACTCCCTGTTACATTGCCTCTAACATAAGGTGCTACAGATCTTAACAAAATGTAATAACTAAATGTGTCTCTTGTGTTGCATAGTAGCTGGTAAACTGCTAACTCACAATGTAAATATTGTGTGTACACCACTTTTAAATGGTTCAGTAGTTCAGGAATATCCCTATCATGTTTTTCATCTTCCTTGCCCGATGGTTCAGTGGATAGAGCAGGCACCCTGTGTACAAAAGGCCGTGTCCTTGCTGCAGCAGCTGCGGCCTCGGTTCCGAAGATAGTGTTTCATACAGAATATAGTGTACACATTAACATATGATTTGTGCTGATTAAGATTCAACAGAAGTCTTTGGCGCTTGGACACCAGAGGGAGAACTTTGTGATCGAGGGACATCTGAGCGGCAGCAGGATCAACCCCCCCATGGAGTCCAGACACTGGTGGTGGTGGCTGATGACTCTGAGGCTGATGAGGCTGATGAATCCGTAAACACTAGGTGGTGATATGGAGGTGGAGGGCATGCACGACTGCAGCAAGAAAGACCTATGGCAGAAAAAGAACCATATTTAAAATGAGGAGCAGTAAGATGATAGGCGGACAGAGAAGGTGTTCCGCTGTGCTGTTGGTTGATTGTGAACCAGATGAAAACAGCTGGTGACTCAGCTGACATACCTGGACTCAATGATACCAAAAGATAGTGAGTGAGCATGCATTGAGGAGTGAATAGCAGTGTGAGAATGAAACTTCAGCCTGAGTATGAAAAGTATTGTCTTCCTGACTGAACGTTCGTGAGAGCTTCATGTTTGGGATAACTGAGAATCACCATAATGGTTGAATATTACAATATTGAAAAGGAAGGGGTGTCATTTTCTGATTATGTATCCTTTATAAATGTTAGTAAGACAAAATTAACAGTTATAAACCATCAAGTCTGAACTTATGAATGTTAGTAAGTCATTAAAAACAATAACAATCCAGAAATACTGCAGTTATAAATGTCGCTGTCTGTAGCTACTGCATTGTCCTACTGCCTTTAATAGTTAAGTAAATAAACGACAGCACCTGAGGATTTATTTTTGTAATGGATTCTTCCAGCATTATATTTATTTGTGAATTACTCACTAAAACCACACTTTTTCTGTTGCAAGCATCGGCTCTGCCCCACTTGACCCACATGACCCATCACCTCTAAATGTTGTTGATACATCATGCTGATGGTGTTGATTAAATGAATGGTTTCTGTTTGTGACCGAAATTCTTTATCAGTTAGGTTATGTATTGAGGACAGCGGCTCTTATGGTGGATACATAACCACAACAGTTACGTATGACAGTATCGATATTGACATGGCTCTGGGTTTCTAATAGTGTTTGGCTGACATCTAGTGGTCAAGCTTACAAATTGCAACCAAGCGGCTCTTCACTGGATCAGATGAGCCAGATTTATTTTTCAGAGCGTCTAACTGCTCCTGGGAGCAAAATAAAAGGTGTGTATGTCCACAGTGAAATTGCTGCTGATCTGGTGCAATAATGAGGTAAGCTTGAGGTTTCACAATATCAAGCCAGCAACATGAAGGACAGGGTGTCAAGTCAGACAGAGTTAACATGAAAAGGAAGTGTTGTTAAGTGACTTCATCTACAAAATTAAAGCTGACAAATGTGTCAGCTTTAGAAAATAAAATATACACCTCAGTATTTAATGGTAAGAGAGACAAGTTTATAACAGGGGATTCAACAGAGGGTATTGTTATACACCATCAAATAATTACAAGCTTGTGTGAGCAGCAATTTAAAAAAAAAAAATTTTAGATTACATTTCATTGTTTATGGGTGGTTTGCAACATAATTTATGATGAATTATCACACCCCGAAATTTATTTTCAAATATTGGATTTCAAATAAAGGAAAATCCAAGGCTCTCTTCTTTAAATGTATAGAAAGCCTTTATTAAAAGAAAATGACTGTTTCATTTAGAAAAAGTTAAAACATGATCATGTTTTAACCTTCCTTTTTTTGACGTCTATATTCCCACCAAAGAGCACCTTCGTCACATGATTAGATGAACCTTCTGAGCACTCTGGACTTTCTTTTTGATTGGATTTCAAATACTGTATTATTTTACTTAAATTCAATAATAACTTATTGATATAAAAGCATTTTTTAAGACTTTTAATTTGCGTTGCACTGTATTTAGAAGCAGTTCAAAACCTTCCCCCTGCAGTGTAAGTTAGGATAATCAGCAATAAAATTAATTTTAGCAACTTAGACACGTTATAAATATAATTTACATACAATATAATCAGTTAAGGGCCTAACACTAAACCTTGCAGAACCCCACAAGTAACCTTCAACAAATCAGATTTAACACGATTTATTTGTATACATTATCAAGTTAGCTTCTTAGCCATGAATATACTATCCCTCCTGTATCATAACACTCCAGTTTCTTCACTGATAAGACCTGATCGATGGTATTGAATGCTTTTTAAAGTCTGTAAACACATCTGTAGAGGTTGTCTCGATTGGTGAGTAAAGGAATTGTATTTATTTATTTATTTATGAAATGATTTTATTGACAGTTTACTCAATATATTTGGCAACAGGCATGTTCCATACAGGTACAGTTCAGTGTAATAGTTGTACAGTAATGTTGAGAAATGTTTACAAAGTGAGTGCTTTTAACCGCAAGTTGAATAGAAATGGAATATTAGAAAAACAAAGAAAAAGAAAAGAGTAATAATAACAGAATAAAATAAAATAAAATAAACTTTAATTTAATTTAATTTAATTTAATTTAATTTAATTTAATTTAATAAGTTACCATGTAAGGGGAAAATACATTTATTCCAGTTATCTAATGCAGTGGGAAAATGTTTAGGGTATCATATAATTGTTGTGGGAGTGATGTTAACTATAAGTTGAATAGAAATTAAATATGAGAACAAAGGAAAAGACGAAAAGTAATATTATTGAAATGAAATAAAATAAAAGACAATAAAAAAGTTAGCATACAAGGGGAAAATACATGTCTAATGCAGTGGGAGTATTATATAATTGATTTTGGGAGCGCTTTAGTTGTAAGTTAAATAGAAAAGAAATATTGAACAACAACGGAAATTGAGAAAAGTAATTACGAAACAATAAATTAAAATAAAATAGTAATCTAATGCGGTGGGGAAATGTTTTAGAGTAGTATTATGTATGTGCTAGTCTCCCTTTCATGACCGGAAGTGAAACGTTAGCATCGCTGATTCTGACTGGCTTGACACTGGTGCGTCTACGTCACATCCGGTGAGTGGGGTCTTTTTTTGTTTTCCCGTATCCGCCATTTCAGTTTTTGAAGTTAGTTGTCATCGGTCGCTGGATTGTAGCTGGAATTCTGTCGCTATAACGCGCTGTCTGGTTATTAGAGCTGATTTCCGGTCACAAACCGAATAAGAGTCGTTTTTATTTGGTGGTTCCGGTTCTGTATCGGCGGATTGATGTCCAAACGGCCAGCTGCGGATGTCGCCTGTTTACTAAACGTGCTCTAGGCGCTAAAGTTTTTGTATGAGTTGAAGGCTTTGCTTGTGGATAACGGGAGGGAGCGACGGGAAGGCCCGGTGAAGCCTCGGCTTTGGAGTGGTTATCATGGCCGGAAATTTTGACGCGGAGGACCGTGGCAGCTGGTACTGGGGCCGGTTGAGCAGGCAGGAGGCTGTGTCTCTGTTACAGGGGCAGAGGCACGGCGTGTTTCTGGTGCGGGACTCCATCACCAGCCCCGGCGACTACGTGCTCTCGGTATCAGAGAACTCCAAAGTCTCGCATTACATAATTAACAGCATCAGCAACAACCGACAATCCGGTCCAGGTAAGATCACAGGAGTGGTTTTGGAGGGGGCACGGTATTATGGAGACGCTGATGTGACCATTCTTGCATGACTTGCACCAAAGGAGATGCGCAATAGTGTATTTTCTACTCTCTTATGGAGAATACGGCAGGCCAGACACACTGGAGCATGTGTCAGTGTAATGTTGGCTTCTTAATAGGCAAACACACCTCAGGTCATGGTTTCAGTTCATGTGTGGGCGCTCAAACAGACGACCCACTAGATGTTACACCACACATTATATCAGTAAATCATTAATACAGACTGGGGCACGTTTCTGTCTCTACAAGCATCATGGTGGGTGGTGTGAGTTTCCTAATAGCTGTGATTACCGGCCTGGTGCACCCTTAAAATGTGCTTAATTTCCCAGCTGACCCTGAGAGAGTTGTGAATGAAAGAGTCTGTCATATTGCCAGGTTTTAATAGACTTTGACCAGACGCTGTCCCCTGCCTCCGCTGGTTTTTTCCTGTGTGGATATTGCAGGAGGATATTTGTTGTTTTTCCTCATACCTTCTCAAAAATACAGAGCTGTCATTGGAAGGAACAAAACAAACATGGCAGAGGAAAGAAATGCAGAATAAGGAAACAAAAATCCTTCCAGGTCATTTTGGAAAGCACCTCCATCGTGCTCGGAGACAGAAATAGACTGGCTTCAGATCTGCAGGTTGTCTGTTGGATGAGACTTTATCATTTTGTCTTTCTCATTCCTCTTCCCTCATTTTCACCAGGTTTGGCCCATCCGAGGTTTCGCATCGGTGACCAGGAGTTCGACGCTCTCCCTGCTTTGCTAGAGTTCTACAAAATCCACTACTTGGACACCACCACCTTAATAGAACCCATCAACAAGTCCAAACACACCTCCTTCATCAGTGTCGGACCCGGGGGCCCCCCGCCACGCCTGGAAGACGAGTATGTCCGAGCACTTTTTGATTTCCCCGGCAACGACGAGGAGGATCTCCCGTTTAGGAAGGGCGACATTCTCCGAGTTCTGGAGAAGCCAGAGGAGCAGTGGTGGAACGCCCAGAACTCTGAAGGCCGGGCGGGGATGATCCCAGTGCCGTATGTGGAGAAGTACCGACCGGCGTCTCCGAGTTCGGCGGCGGGGCCCGGTGTACCTGGGGGACCCCCGGGAGGAATGGGAATGGTAGGGAACTCTGACGGCTCTGCAGCCCAGTCCGGCCCTCCACTGCTGGGAGACCCCAGTCAGTACGCCCAGCCCACCCCCCTCCCAAACCTCCAGAACGGACCTGTGTATGCCAGGGCCATACAGAAGAGGGTGCCCAACGCCTACGACAAGACTGCCCTGGCCTTAGAGGTAAATATGGACCAGATTTTCTTGACTCCGTGCACATGCAAGGAGGCACTTGGCGAAGAAGCTTATCGAGACAGAGCTCACATTCTTTCACTTTCTGTCCCTCTGTGGTTTTGGTTGTTTCTTCCTTGGTATTTTTTGAGGGCGTTGAAGAGGAATCAAGGTCAGAAAGTGCTCAAACAGCTTTCTGTTCAGTTTTCTAGAGTGTCTTCTACAGAGATCAGTCCAGTGACATGACAGATTTATCTTCATGCAGTCTGCCCAAAATGTGTTCTGTAGTCCAGAAAGACAAACACCCCAGATCTAACCCTAACAGGGTACCCCAATATGAAAACTGCCATTAAACTCTGCTCCCTGCTCTCAGTGGCTGGGCTGTTTAACTGTCCGGAAGCGAGAGCGGGGCTCCCACGGAGCAGGTCGTTGGGGGAAGGAAATAGTTTGTGTTTGGGAACAGGACCATTTCCTCTGGTCTCTGTGAAGCCAGGAGTCAAGCTGAGCCAGGAGTGGGACTCTGAGGCAGGCTGAGCAGAGCATGCTCTTGTCTCTCCTGGCTTGCTGGACTGTATGACACTAATACAGATCCATGGACTACTTAAACCTGCAGCCTTTGTGTTTCTCCAGCTTGTCTGTCAGCTTGAAAAAACTTTGGTTTGTTTAAAGTTTGCTGAGTTGCATATGCCAGGTAGATCCTTTGTATGAGTTGGCCTCTGCTGGCACTCCCACCTGTGGTAGACTTGTCTGGCTTTGACCTGTGTGAGGCTGCTTGTTTTCTCCACTCCAGTTTGCTCGTAGTGACTCAGCAAGGAGCCACTGACAGTTAATAATTAGCTCACATTTCCTTGTCCCGTCGTCTTCAGAAAACCCTTTTGGAGAGCACTCTTTATCATCAGGAAATGAAACTAACTTAAAATAATCTGTTAGTTGAATTATATTCCGTCTGTGTTTTAAATGACACGTAAAGCTCAGAATGCTGGATCACAGTTTCAGGTGGTTATGGCCTATGTCTGAAGAGTTGTTTCTAAATTTGGGGACATAGAGAAAACAGTGCAACATCAGAAAGTTTAGGCAGTGATTACATGCTGTTAGAAATTTGCACTCAAACTCTAATTTATGTCTTTGTGAAGAGTCCATGCATATGTTAGGTGTGGAAATAATATATTTTTAGATGCATCGCGATGTGGATGTGGACGCTTCGGCATTGATTCACATGTAAATAATCGATTATCAAAATGTTCATTAATAACATGATGTTGAGAGAATGAAAGAGGCTGAACTGAGCTTTAATTTAATGTCTAAATAATGATGTTGGCGAGGTGAACGTGAAGTATATCGAGCATTCTTTGTTCTGCCATCACTCAGAGATGAACGGAAAAAGTGGAGCAGCGTTCGGTAGTAACGGTAACAAACAAGACCAGCTGACCAACACGCTGCAGCATTAAACAACTTAAACCAACTCTGCAGCGGCGGAAATAACTCTCAGCTCTTGGCTTTTCTCGTAGCTAACAGTGTTTTGTACAGAATTACAATATCTACGTGTGGCGGTAGCTGACGGGGGGAAGCTAACTTTCCGCTTTTTATTTATTTATTTTCTTATCTGTGTGTCCTTGTATCAGTCTGTGTCCCTTTTCTAAATCTGGAGTGTTTGCAGGTCCGTGTAAGCAGCACAGGTGGAACTCTGTTTAGTTTCAGCAGCAGTTTCTAGAGTTTTAAGTAACAGCGGGGATAATTGATCAGTCAGTCCAATCAGAGCTGATCAGAACAGATTGATGGATGAGAGGATTGAAGGCAAACTTAAGACCCAGCACACTGAAGGTTAAATTTTACTGTCACTGCGCCTACTGTTCTGCTGCGCCATCTGTGCCATTTGTCTGTAGAGATAACAATAACTGAATGGTATGTATATTCTAACGACGCCTCTAAGAGACTTTTGCAAGAGCCATACGTCATTTTAATTATGGATCACTACAAATACAGTATGCTATAAAGTAGCTCGTAGTCACACAGTGAGAAAAGTAAATTGTGTAGAAATAAAACATTTTGATGTATTGATAATTGATTTATCACTGAGTCGTTGCCATCTGATTTGTAACCAACATTTTATTATGGGACCTTAAAAACTCCTGGAAGTGTTTTGGAATTTTTTTACCACAAAAAATGTATGGGAGCCCTGTTTATACAACGTCACTAAAGTTCTCTAAAAATTCATCAATCATATTTCTCTGAAGTCTAAGGGGAAGTTTTCAAACCTTAATTTTTATCCAGCCAGCAGCCTGAAACCCAAATGTATTCACTTTACATCATAATAACCAGAGAAAGATTGTAAATCCTCACATTTTGGAAGATGGAATAAAAGTATGTTTGTCATTTTTGCTTTGAAATTGGCTATTATCAACTAATTGATTTTCAGCTCAAGAAGAGAGACTAAGGCTGATGCTGCTCAGTTTTTGTATAACCTGTGTCAAAGATGTGTTGCTTCAGCTGTGAGGTCATTTTTAAGGCGCCGTCTGTATTGAATAGCATCATGTTGGTTTAATGGTATTTTGTCTCCCCCTGTGTTCTGCATACAGGGAGCCAAATGGCACAAACACCTTTCAGTATGTTGTGAATCACTGCATCAACAAATGTCTGTGACCAGTATGTGTCAAACGGCTGTGGCTATGTGTTACATAATAATAATGAAGTCTTGGTGCCTTTCATTACGCAGACACATCAGCACCTCTATTTAAAACATCCTAATGCCTCAGGATGTCCTGAGTCGATCGTGCAGACGGACACGGGGAGCAATCAGTGCTTCTTTGAATGCATCGGTACCTGCTGTATAAAGCCTTATCCATCACTAATCCATTACTAATGACCCACAAAACACACAAACAAGCCGCAGCCAGCAGTTTAAATTAAAGATATCCACAAGCTGCAGCACGGCACTCAGGCAAATTCACACTGAGCTGAAACTGTTGTGTTTTTCTGAGCCATGTTTCAAGCAAAGATGTCAAATATTCACTGGTTTCAGGTTCTGACATGTGAAGAGTTGTTGCTCTTTGTCTTACGAGGTAGAACACTAACTATGACAGATTTTTGGATCATAAGACGGACATTAAAATTAGAAAGACTTTGCACAACTCTTCTCCAGCACAACATGTCAGACTCCACCCTGATGAAGACAAGATATCGTGAGATTGTTTCCAGTTTCCTTATTTTCAGCCCATTGATCAGCCCTGTGACTAATGGGTCACCAAAACTGTCTCACCAAAAATTATACAAAACAGCATCATCATCATCTTTCAGAACACCATATTTAGTCATCACTGATGCAATTCTTCTTAAAAATCCCTGCTATGAATAGAAATATAAAGAAGTATTGGGACACATTAAGCTATTTGAAGATGTCATCTCAGCATATTTAACCACCCTCTAAAAGTTTATAGAACAAATGATTTATTGAAAGAAAAATAATTGTTAGTTGCACACACTACATATTTAACCATTTATGGAGTTCCCATGGTCCTTTAAAACCTGGAAAAGTCCTGGAATTTTACACCTGAACAATTTCAATCACTCCCTTTCAGTGGCCAAGGAGCAAAGTAGAGAGGCAACTTTTTATTAGTGATAAATCTGCAGATTATTTTCTCAATCAATGATTAATTGGTTATATACATGATTCCTAGGGTCTTGGAAAACCTGGAGAGGTCATTGAATTTCCTATCTATACCAATAGTGACTTGTGATCAAGTGGATTTCATCGTTCAGCACAGCTGGGTAGGAGCAGATTTGGATGGTTAACAACGTTTGGTGCGACTCCTCTTATATTTTCTCCTTCTCTTTTTCATGCGTTGTGTACATGTGACGTAGTGTGGCGGCATTTCTTATGTGAAACGAGACTCCTGCATGTGTGTGTAAAAAAAAAAAAAAGAAAAGTACTGTAACCAGGCTGGCAGGAAGGTGTGCATGCTTTAGCGACTTGCAAATTGTGCTATGGGTCCTTGACGAGTCATGGAAAGTTTTAAAATGTTGTCCCTGCATTTTGTGTTCAAACACACCTAAATTGCTTCTCCAATTTTCTTTTAAGATAAAAAAAAACTAACTAAATTTAATCTCTTGCATCAGCAAGACAAAAAACCCCAACTGAGTCATGCTGCCAGTTACACATTTATCACCAGAAACATTGCCTTTAACTGGAAACAGGTCATCAAACTGATAGTACAAGCTCTACAGAAGTGTCATAACCTCTGACTGCTCAGTCGCCAACAACAGCGACTTGAACTTTGGAACTGTCTGTTAGTCCTTGTTTGCTGAGGTTCAGTGAACAGCCACTCCTCTTCCTGTGCAGGTCAGCTGTAACCATACATGCTAACACCTGACAGCAGTGCTGCAACTGACGCTTTGTTCTCTAGGGTTTGTCTTTAATTCTCATTCATCGATTTAAATGTCACAAAATAGCCTCGTACAAATCTCCAGAACCTGAGGTCTCATATTCATGTTGCTCTTTGCCTCTGACCAGCAGTTTTTAACCGAGACATATTCAGTCTGCAGTGATATAAAACGGACAAAAGCAGCAGATCTTTCTATATGAGTAACTAGAGCTGGTGGATATTTGGGATTTTTGTTTGATAAATGACTGAAACAACAACGTAATGATCAGAAATGTAATTATTCTGTTTATCCAATAATTGTTTCAGCTCCCTCTGGAAACAAAGGATTCGATAAGATGGAGGATTATCTGTATTTTTATTATCTTTAATGTTGATAATAAATCTTGTAATGGCTCCTTCCTGCTGAACTCTCACACCTTTTCTTTCTCTGTTCCCTCCGCAGGTGGGCGACATGGTGAAGGTGACCAAAATAAACGTGAACGGCCAGTGGGAGGGTGAATGTAAAGGCAAACGTGGCCACTTTCCCTTCACACACGTCAAACTGCTGGACCAGCACAACGCCGAGGATGAACTCAGCTGAGAGCGGACAGCTGTGCCGCATCCTGGACACTAGTATTAGACCCTCCCTCACCCCTCCCTTCCCACACACACCACACACACTCACCTGCTCCCCCCTCCCTCACGTCTGCTCCGGCTTTTACCTGCACCAAGTACAGTTTCAGAGAATCACTGAGAACAAAACAAACAGACCCTCGTCGGACCCTCGTACCGCACACACCCTCTATGTCTACCCCTCTGAGTAACCATGCCCGCCCTCCTCCACCTGCTCCGACTGACTGACTTATAAATGGGTCACACACTCTGCAGTGGAGCTGTAAACTGAACCTCCTGTTCCACGGATGTGGCAACACCCTTTAGATCCTCCCCTCGCCTCGTCCCTGCCGTGGACACGTTATCAACACTCACTCCTCAGGAGACTCCTCGCCGCAGAGAACATCCACTTCCTCTTCCTGTGTTGCAGCCAGTAGATAACTGCTCAGCGCTGTGTCATTTTTCATCGTCGTCCTCATCTGTCACCATGGTTACAGCGCTGCAGGATCACTCATGCTGCATTCATCTCAAATGGGAATACAGAGAAACAACACAGCCTTCATGTGTTTTGGTGCCATTAATGAGTTTTTTACAAACTCTGTTAAAAGCAATGGTTTTCAGGAATGTGCTGATTAATTTTCTTGCCAGGAGTTGGATGAGACAATTGATTCAGTTCAGTCAAGCTTTATTTATCCCAAAGGAAATTCTTGTGCCAGGGAATGCTTCAATTACAGTAACACAAATTACAGTCACAACAATAATCGTTCACAATACGACTCTGTGTCTGTGCGGCACACTGGATTTCCCACAGAATTACAGAGTATGTGTGGCGGTTGCTGCTAACAAAGGAGGCGATACAACAACAATGACGACAACCTTTTTATTTCTTTTAAATGCCTGTCTGGCCGTTTATATCACTATGTGTCCCCTCTCTAAATTGGGAGGTTTGTGTGGGTCCATTAATGCAGCGCAGGTGTAGCTCTCCATGAGTTCTTTTCTTCAGCAGCAGTTTGTGACTAGCAGGGTGGATGTTTGATCTGTCGTTCTGTTCACAGCCGATCACATCAGATCGATGGATGAGAGGAGCAGCTGCTGTGAGAGAATGCAAAGTTTAAGACCCAGTAGAGCAGTTAAGTTTCATTTTCAATTCGCCTGAGATTCAGCTGCGCCATGAAGTTTTAAACAGGGCGGGCCACCACATATAAATGACCGTGTGGGAAATCCTGATAGATATGACACAATCGCCAGCAGTCAATTAGCATAGCTTAGCATAAAGACCAGAAGCAGGGGGAAACATGTAGCTTAGCTCTGGGAGAATGTAACAATATCCACTCACAGGCACCTCTATAGTTTGCTGATTCAAACATTTATCTTGTTTGTTTAATTTGAGAAAAGGCAATGTTTAAAAGTTCAGGTTTATGGGGATTGTGTGCTGGACTGTTTCTTGGCTCGGACCAGTTCCCAGGCACACAGTCACATTTCGACAGAGCCAGGCTCCCTGTTTCTGTCTACTTCAGGCTGCTTAAGCTAAGCTATCGTCTGCTATTGTATTTATTTCAAATATAAGACTCACATTGATCTTCACATCCAACTCTGCAAGAAAGTTAAGTGTGTTTCCCACAATTCTTTTAATCCTGATGTGCTTGTTTCACACTAAAGGCGGATTTATAGGTTTACGCTGTAGCCTACGCACATGGCCTACGCCATTGTGAGCATTTATACTTGTGCGGAGGTGTGTCTGTGAAGTGCTGTAAAGTGTGATTGATTCAAAACACACATTAAACACACATTAAACATGGCTTAATAGAGACAGTTTCAAACACAAGTGCACAAATCAGCTTCACTATAACTCGCAGCATTCACAGACAAACACTTGTCTTTATCTGGACACATTTTCCCCACAAATACAACATGCTAACATTATTAGCACAAGCCTATGGCATTTTACATTGTATAAATTAGCCTAGCAGCTAGCAGACTTTTCCTCTTCTCATATGAAGCCAGGGGCAACAGCAACATTTAACAAAGGTAACAGCACATAATTTGGCTCCATTACAACTCACAAGGTTCACTGACAAAACAACTGTCTTATACTAAACACGTTTTCCAAACAAATACAACATGCTAACGTTATTAGCACAAGCCTATGGTATTTCACATTGTATACATTAGCCTAGCAACGATTGGAGATTTCGTCTGCTCATATGAAGCCAGGATAAATCACACACAGGATTTAAAAAGCCATTTCTGAAGAGGTGCAAGTCAGTCCACGGCGTAGGGTACATGTCTGTGATGTAGATACAGCATCAGTTTGACACTGGCTTTACAGTACATGCATGTAGCGAGGGATGAATTTGAGCACAAACTTGCAGCGTCATCCTGCGTTCGCTTAAACCTTAAACCATTTTTTTTTTTACCCCCATTGCCCTTCATTTGTCCAAACTGATGTCTCCTTAGTGTTTGTTTGATGGCCTTATTGAGGACATAAAAACACAGCAGTCCTGATTAATATTTAATTCTAAAATGCTGTTAAAGGGATTAACAAGAGAACATTTACAACTCCAAAACAGGACTGAACAGTACTCCTGGCAGAGTTTACCACCTACATAAGTTGAGCGCCGAGTTTGCATCTTACATTGTTCCTGTTGGACATGAATGCAGCATCATTGTAGGGTAACCTGGGGCAGCGAGTGACGAGAGCAGCGAGGCTCAAATACAACAATCTATCACAGGGGAGATTTAGGATTTCTCTCACAAAGAAATGAAAGCGCTGCACAAGGAGCAGACCAAGGACCAGTCCAACACCCACCCCTCGAACCAAACGGAGAGATACTGAGTGGAGACCAGCAGCTAGGAGCAGCCTCATGTCGTCCTTGCCGTAGAGCAGCTGTGACAGCTGTGAACCTGAGAAACTTCCAGACTATTGTTGAGGTGGAGATAAAGGCAACACTACATTCAACCTCTCCACACCTTCCACCTTGGCTCCCCTCAGCCCCACCCACCCATCACCTACGACCAAGTACCACCAAGTAGTCTTTTGTAAGAAGAAGAAAAGAACATATTGTTATGAGATGATGTACTATGTGATTATCATTACATGCTAAAATATTGTTTCTCTTTGGTTACCTTTGTAGTTTTCTTCATAGCTGATTTTGTGCGGGAGGAAACCGTTTCGATGTACACTTTTTACTGCTGCATGTTGGGAGGGAGGGAGTGATGGGTCGCTGGTGCAAAACGGATAAACTGACTCGAGGGGGCCGCGTGTGTCGCCCACCCTCCAGCCCTCACAAGGCCACTTGTGTTCTCATTCTGCGTCAGATGTACATGAATGAAGTTGAACGGAGTGAATGTAGGCTGTCCACCATGTTAGTTAGTACTGTCTTCTCATGTTAGTGCTCTGCATTCAGCTCACTGAGTATACCTTAGATAAAGAGACTGCTCTGTGTTCAGATCTTGTCAAATGTGTCCGAGAAAAGAGACGGTGGTATTATTTGGTACCTGCCCTTTGTTTTTAACCTTTAATAATCTCGTCGCCACCTCGCACCGCTTCGTTCTTTTAATCCACTGGTTTCTTTTGTGCTTTCTCCACGACTCTTTTATTTAAAGCCTTGTCCGTTTATGATGCACAACTTGGACTTTTTATGTTACTGTTTTACCTTCTGCCATGTCTGTGTTGCCAAGACAAGTAGAACAGATAATTATGTTATCGTCCAAATTGCCTCCCCCCCCCCCCATGACGTTGTTTTCTGTTGATTGAATCAATCTATGTGTTGACACCTGACAATCACCACCCTCGTGTATCATAAAGCAGACTGGTTTGGATTGAAGCAGGCTGGGTGTGTCGTTCAGACTGTCGCCAGAGTTGAGCCACTCTGAATTTGAGCTGTGAGAACTCACTGTCTCTTCCAGGCGAGGGATCCTCTCAGATGTCACGGCTCAGTATTTCTGGCCAGAGCACCGTGTCACCTTTAGGTGGCACTGTAACAGCATTCAGAGAGATGGGGTCCCTCTGGAGAGCATATTCAGCCAGTGCTTATGAGATTAAAGGAGATGAAATTTGATTTTTAACAGGATGCACTTACCGCTTTTACACTGAGTTTGCATTATATACCCTCCTGTGAAGGTTTTTAATTATCCCTGAGTGCTCCCACAGTCGTCTCTGTGATCTTACGCCTGACAAGCTCTGTCTTGCTTTCACACTTCAAGTCGGCCATCTTCCAAATGATTTAATAATAATAATTACTATGTAAAAAATATTTGGCTGACTTCTTGGAAAAAATCTGGCAGAGGAAAGTAACACGTGTGTGCTGCCAGCTTTGGACACGTTCTGTTTTTATCTGTGTAGTAACGATCAAATCAAGCTTCTTTGTCACTCACACTGCACACGGCAGGTGCTAAGCTACATGAATCATTATCTTATAAATTGCCAATGAAACCACCAACAAGTATTTTTATTTTTAGTCACCCTGCATGGAGTCATTCATTTCTTTTCATCAAAAGGAAGGGGTGGTGAAATGCCAGTGGAAATTGTGTTAATATCAAAATGTGCCATTTTATTATAACACTATATTCTTTCAAGACAATTGAAATTACCTTTTTATTTTCTGTAGCATGTAATGTGTTAATATACTAGTAAATAAAGTCAAACCCATGACAAATGATCTGTTCAATGTAGTGACTTTTTTAAGGGTTCCCACAGTCATGGAGAACCATTACAGTCTAATTTTCCAGGCCTGAAAAAGTCATGAAAGTTTTGGAAGAGTCAAGAAGCACCTTGAAGACGTCACCTCGGCATGTTTCACAGTTTTCTAAAGTTTTGTAGAACAAATGATTAATCAAAGGGAAAATAATTATTAATGCACACAAAACAATCTATAACTGTAAATGCAGAGCCATTTACAGGGTTCCCACCATCTTGTAATACCTGGAGAGGTCATTGGAACTTCACAGTCTCATTTTCCAGGCCTGGAAAAGTCATGGAATCAGCTAAAATCATGGAACTTTTTGGAAAACTCATGGAATTCAGTTGCTTTTAATTAAATTAATTGTTACAGTAACCTTCCACATAATGTAACATAACAGCAAATGTATTTTTTGTAAGTTAGCTGTTGACATAACTTAGCTCTGATGTGCGTCAAGAATGTGCAATGTCAGGTAAGGCAAATTAACTCAACTTGATGCAAAATAATATTTTATACTTCCAGCTTCTCAAATAAGAGGATTTGCTGCTTGTCTGTTTAATTAAATTATTTTATTTATTCAATTTATTTCAACTTCTCTGCATGAGTACTTTTACTTTCTATACATAAATACATTTCCCTGATTGTACTTAACATACTTTTACTTAAGAAATATTTTCAGTGCAGGACTTTTACTAGTACAAAAGTATTTTTACAGTGTGATATCAGTACTTTTAGTGAAGTAAAGGATCTGAATAATACTTCTGCCACCACTGCTACCGACACAGCAAATGTTTAGCCATTGCTAGGTTTTTGATTTTCTGCACTGACTGTCTGGAAAATCACATTTACTTTGTTTAAGCTTATTTAACAGTACATCAATTTGAATACTGCAGACGTCCTTCGTTTTACAGCCTATTTTTGGTGACATTCTTGGCCATTTGCCATAGTTTTTGAACACGGCACACCTGACCTTATATGGTGTTTAGGGGCATTACCTGTACCAACAATGATTTATGATCAAGTGGGAGAATTATCATTCAGCACAGCTGGGTAGGAGCAGATTTGGATGGTTAAGAACGTTCGGTGTGACTTCTCTTATATTTTGTCCAGGGTTCCCACAGTCATGGAAAACCATGAGATTTCACAGTCTTATTTTCCAGGCCTGGAAAAGTCATGGAATCAGCTGAAAATCATTGAAAGTTTTGGAAAACTGATGGAATTTGCAATGAAATTAAGTGTTACAGTAATCTTCCACAGATAACCTTCCATGTAATGTCACATAACGGCAAATGTATTTTCTGTAAGTTAGCTGTTGACATAATGTAGACGTAACGTAGATGATGTAACGTAATATGCGTCAGTGTAGGGTTACACAATATATCATTTCAGCATCGACACTGTGATGCACAACAGTCACATCGAAGGACGTGCAATGTCAAGAAAGACAAATTAACTTATCTGATGCTTGATACAAATGTAAAACTTGCACAGTTCTCATTCTCCATGACTTATAGCGGCCAAGCCTTCTGCTTTTAGACGTTACGTGTATATGTGACGTAGTGTGGTGGTGTTTGTTATGGGAAGTGAGACTCTCCTGCATGTGTGTGTGTAGAAAAGCACCGTAACCAGGCCGGCAAGTGCAGGAGACACAGTGACACAGTTCTGATGCATGGTAATGTGTGGGAGCTCTGCTTTTTGTCTGACCTCATGTGCTGCTGAATCATGAAATCCCTTCAAACATACTGTAAAGAAGTCTAACAACTGTTTTAATGCTCGCTGTGTTCACTGTACAGTCAATGAGTAAACCCTATTTTCATTCATGCTGCACATGGCAGTTGCCTAGATACAGATATTATTGCTATTCATGTAACCAGGAGGTATTTTTAGTAGCACTGAATGAAGCTGTGTAACTATAGTGTCAATGTACAGTAGGAATGATTTCAGACAAGCACACAGAATGTGAATCAGCCTGTTAAACCAATGAGGACTAACACAGCACATGTCGTGCGGCCAGTAAGAAAACTGACATGAAATATGGTCGATTCAGTCTGTTGCTGTTGGCAGGGTAAAGATACAGGGATCTCATAATACTGTGCTAACAGCACTGGGCCTCATGCAGCAACAGCCATCTTAAATTTCTCTTATATTTTCTCTTAATTTTATGTTAAGATAAACAGGGTTCCCACACATATTCATGGACAAAAACATTTCCATGACTTTTTAAGGATCCATAATAAAAGTTTCATTTGGGAAAAGCATGCACTTCACTGTATCTGCTGCACTTGCCGGCCTGGTTACGGTATTTTTCTACACAGAAAAGCACCGAGTCTATGCTGAAACAACACAAATTGACACAGTTTTTTTCCCTCCAACAACTAACGCATGTGATTAGGTTTAGGAAAAAAGAACAGGGTTTGACTTTGTAATCTGATGGGACATGAACACCACTCTCCCGGGTGAAAGTTGGTGATTTTCGGTGCCTTAACTTTTGTTCTTGTCCCGCTGCATTTCCCCCCGATGCCGCCGAGCACCAGTAAACTAAAATGGCAGCTGCCCGCGTATCATGCCGATGTTAAAGGAAATGGCCACTTCAGAATGAAAATACAGACAGTACATACTGACCCTCATGCCGACAAGAAGTCCAGTGTAGTTTTTTAATCCACAAAACTCGTTCGGTGTATCGGAGGATAACAGCTAGCCGGATTTTTCCGTACACTTGAAGTGCATGGAACCCACATCCAAAATCATTTTGAAGATGTAATAAAGCTCTGCTAATGCATTTCGCAATACATAATTTACTCCACTTTTATACCATCATTTCTCACCGTGGTCAGTTAGCCTGCAGGCGTGCTGTGTTTACATGACAACTCACGCAAGACTCGAGAACGTTCAGAGACGCTCTTGTTCTCGTGTCGCATTCTAACTGACTGCTATAAAAGTTTAGTAAATTATGTCTTTTCAAGTCAATTTTGCATGTCGCGGCTTCAGGGCACTTGGATTACGACGGACGAGCCGTTCTGACGTTTTTTAAATGCATTAACGGAGTTTTATTACATTTTCAAAATGTGGGTTCCATACACTTCGAGTGTATGGAAAAATCCGGCTAGCTGTTATCCTCCGATACCCCGAACGAGTTTTGTGGATTAAAAAACTACAATGGACTTCTTGTCGGCATGAGGGTCAGTAAGTACTGTCTGTATTTTCATTCTAAAGTGGTCATTTCCTTTAAAGGACGGCTTTTTTAGTAAGTGTCTGATGCCACACGTCACTGCCCAAGCACCAGATTTCGACGACTTCGGGGTGAGACCAGGTTGATTGATGACCTGCAAGTTTTTGTTCTGTTATTACAGAAATGTGTTGGACCAGTTATTAATGAGCCCACTGCAAACTCTTTCTTTTCAGATTATTTCTCACGTAATGTCTCGGTTATTGTTTTCTACATTCTCTCTTTCCAACTTGTAGAATGTGACATGCCCAGTGATGTTATCACTGTTTGCACTTTAGGTAAAAAAAAAAAAAAAAGTGACTGAAAGTGAAATTATTACCGACTCTGTGGTGGTTCCAACAAGAGGAGCAGCTTCAGTAGTGTGGTTTTATGAACAGCCCCGGACTTCTCAGACTCTTTTAGTGACTTACCGCTCAGAGGGAACTCATTCAGCGGCTCCTCTGGCAGCAGCACAGCGTCTCTCCCTCTCCTCTCTCGCCGTGCACACACGGGAGTCGGTGTCGTCAAGTGATTTTGTCATAAGCCTTTGGTAATGTAAACCTACGTGACGCTGGATTGCTCAGCAAAAACTCCACATATGTGAATGTGTGTTAGTTGTGGTATCACAGGGGTGTCCAAACATTTTTTGGGGCCAGATAAAACAATGTGAAAATAGCTGGGGGAAAAAAAGTGAGACAAATGCATTTTTATCTTTTAATGAACAATTACGCAATGCCTGTCTACAAACTGTATGATAGTCCTATATGTGAGGTGAAGGGTAAAAATGGGAAGGGATCTTGCTCGGTTAACCATTGTTGTGTAACGGGCCACATATGGTATATTTTGAAAGTCAAGCTGAGGGCCGATTAAAATTGGTCTGCGGGCCACAATTGGCCCCCGGGCCAGACTTTGGACATGCCTGTGGTATCATAACAGCCTGTCACAGGTTACAGCGTGATGATTAGAGGAGAAATGGCAGAGCATAAAGGTCCAGGTGGGAAAAAAACTCAAGACTCAAGTCATTTAGGATGTTACTAAAAGAAGAAAATCACCTGCTGATTTATATATATGTCAGTTGAATTTTTATTATTATTACAATATTCGACTGGGTCTGTACAAAAAGTTATGAATGAATGTTTAACTGACTGTATCAGTACACTGTGCGCACCCATTTCCCAATAAAGAGGCAAACTCCAGCTAAGAAATATAATTTAATCATAAACTTTCACATGGAATCCATTTGTTGCCGTACACATGTGGGAATTATTAGTGTGTGACACCAAAGCCCTGACTGGCAGCCAGTGAGGGATGATAACATTTAGAAGGAGAAAGCCGTGAGTGGGACGATGGATCAGTTTATTGTACGCAGCAAATTACAACAACTTCTATTGTCTTATGTCGTAAAAAGAGTGATAGCACATGTTATAGAAGCTACTGATATAAATATAAATCCATGGGTACATTTTTTTTGTATTTGGGAGCTGTTTAATGTGTAATTTATGGTAGATTTTGTTTATCTGAATGTGAATCTCACTCTGAGTTACCGTTGTTGTTCAAAAAACTAAAGAAATTAGAGATATATTTGAAGCAAACTGTAAAACTACATCACTTACTGTGTTGCAATTATGTTTTCTTAAATAATACTACAGTGTTTTCCACGAATTTTTCATATCGTCAAGAATATCGTTATCGCAAAGATACCCTGAAATATCGTGATGTTATTTTAAAGGTTGTATCGGCCATCTTTAGTGGGAAGCGTAACCAAACTGGTTCATTTTGGTGTAATAAAGGTATGCAGGGGCTCAAGGAACAGTATTTGTAGCTTCAGGGAGGGTCAAAATACTACTACAAAAAAAACAAAACACAAGTCACACCCAGCCACCCCTCTCCTCTGATGAGTAAAGAACAGTCCCTTATAAACTCAAAACATGTCCCTTCAGTGTTTGCTGTTATAAATGGTGTTGCGGAGATTCTAGTGACTGTTTTCTCCTTATGAAAATTAAAATGACTGGGGGGAGGTATCAGAGCCGGTGATTCATGTGCGTATGTGCAGTACTCGGATGAGGCTGGTCGCCATCTTTACTCCATCCCAGCACATCGCTGCCGGTGGGGCGGAACACCACTCATCGACCCAGTTGATTTCTAGGAACCGCCGACAGACCTGGCTCAGCACCGTGTTTCACTGAAGATTAGTCACCTTTACTAGCACGCTACTCTACCTGCACCCGGACACACAATGGGAGAGCGAGAAGACCTAGTTTATCAGGCAAAACTTGCCGAGCAGGCAGAGAGATATGACGGTAAGACACACTTTGAGCGCTGGCTCCGAGTGGGACATGTTCGCCGCAGGGATTTTTTTCACGTTAACGGAGCTTTGCTCGGCTAGCTAGCTAGCTAGCTTCATGCTAGCCGCGGCTAGAAAGCTAACCTGACTCTTCCACCTAATTTAACTCGTCACTGACATGACAGCTGGCTTTGTGTTGGAAGGGATTAAAGCGACATTAAAACAAGAGCAAGTGTCATGAAGTGTGTGTGTGTTTTAGTAAATCTGTACGGATGTGACAGACAGGGGCTAACGTTAGCGAAGGGGGCTACAACAAAATGGCGGATTACTGGAGCGTGAGCTGTCAGGAGTTGCCTCCCCTGCACCATGCTAGTGCTACAGCTTAACACTTGAGCTACTGGCCTCATTACCTGCTATGAGCAACAGAGTCATGGCACTGTGTGCACGCTCAACAACGTAGGAAGTGTTTGCGTGATTTTGTTTATCAGTGTTGGCCAACTTTAGCGAGGCGTTAGCCACAAGGTTAGCTACTCGGGGCTTGCTGTGTGTTAGAGTCAGTGGGAGTGGGAGGGCAGCTGTTCACTTGTGGTGGGGTGTTCCCCCTGCAAGCAGGCTACACGGATCGATTGGCGAAAATGACTCCCTCTTCCTCTCCCTGGTACACTCCTGTCAGACTGTCATACCATTACAGGCCTGCTGGAGCTGTTTTTAGACCCCTGCCTTTGCCTCCGGTCACACGTTGCCCAGTGACGTTAAATGAATGTGCCATGAGTCATTCACGGGATTTGGACCGAGTGTATTTACAGAGTGATTTATGGTTAACTGGCCAAATGGTAACGTTGCTGGAATACATTCACATTGTTATTCATCTGCAATATGTTAGCATGCTGCTGAAAGGGGAGTCTCCACAGGGCTTCACAGATGAGCATGGGAAAAATCACGTTTGCAAATTATATCGGCCACTGTAAGATTCAAGAGGACATCCAGCCTGCAGCTATTAACTATTAACTCACAAAGGTAGTGGGTGTTTAAAAGTTAAAACCCTGCCAGCTGTAAGTTTATTTGCTATGTAACAATAAGGTAAAATCTAAAACAGTCAAAGTGAAAACTGGGGATGCATGATATTTTTTTGATATGCTGATATATAACAATTTATTTGACCGATAAGCAACTTTGGGGCGGCAGGAGCTCAGTCCGTAGAGACTTGGTAGCTGGAGAGGTGCCACTTCACAGCCAAGGCACTGTCAAGATGGCCTTTAGCAAGGCACTAAACCCGTAATTGCTTAGGATGACCCCTCCCTCTGACATCTCTCCATTTAATGCATGTATAGATCCTGTTTGTGCATGTGTCTGTATGAGTATACACATAATAAAGTATATCTTCTTCTGCTGATATCGATATATTTTCCCCACTTAATTTTAGTGATCAAGTCTCATCTGTAGTGGAATTAACATCACAATATGCATGCGTAGTCTTATCCTGACGGCCCGCCAGCAGATGGAGACATGAAAAAACAATAATTTTAAAAGTATGTGATACTCATTCATTGTGCAAAATAAGAAAAAGCTTGTTGACTCATTCTGATAGTTCATTTTAAAGCCAATATTGGCCGATAAAGTGCTGATATTATCATGCATCCCTCATGAAAAAGCATAACTAAGAAATGTAGGGAACTTAAGTCATCTATAAAATAACACTAACAGCAGAGAGTCATCACTCATGGCAAACACACATTTTTAAGTCCTGCTGATGGTTGATAGCTGCATCTGAACGAGAGAGAGGTTGGCTGAATACGGTCCAAACTCTCCTGTCACAGCAGATCAATAGGCCCACATTACGACAGGTAATGTACAAAATATAGGAAACCACCTGGAAAGCTTGCACTTTAAATTAAAACTAAGGATATCACAGATGACAAGGACTTGGGGTCTCATTTATAAACATTGCGTAAGAACAAAACAAGGCCTGAAAGAGGCTTCGAACGCAAAAGTTGTGATCTACAAAAACAGACTTGACGGGAGAAACTTTCACCTGTGCTTACCAACATTTTGGAGACATGAAATTGGCGACGCAGACTGTGAGGTGGAAACCTGATTATTGAAATTGTCAAATATTTTTTTAGCTTTTGTCTGTGTGTACATTATTAGTTTAGATCCTATGCATTGTTTTAAAAATGGAACCCAAGGAGAGTTGGGGTGTCACGTGAAAGAAAACAATACACATAATATACCTCACCCACCTGAGGGTGGGGTGTTGCTGCAGCACCCCACCCACTTGAGGGTGTGGTATTGCTGCAGCACCCTCAGCACCTCTGCTTCCCGCAGCTGTGTCTCAGGGCGGTGTGTTTGTGTGGAATCTCCTCAGGCCCAGCTGTGCCTTACGTGCATGGTGCATCAATCAACACTCGTCAGTGAAAACCTTCCCATAATATGTTCTCAGTCATTGCAGTGGATGAACCAGTTGTTAATCAGTCTATTTTTGCCCTTTTAGTTGAAAATGAAAATGTGTGGGAACTCTGAAATTAATTTTGGGAGGTTGAGGTGTGTACGCCATGGGCAGGTGTTGCACCTCCATGTCCCTCCTTTATTTTAAAGTATGTGGAAATGGTTACCTGAGTACATCTGAATCTCTGTTTGCTACAGTGGAGGTGTTATAGACAGTAAAATAATGGAATTGACTGTAGTTTAAAGAGGTCAGACATCAAGTTTCATCAACTTTTTGGACTCGATTAGTCAGACAAGATGATAAGGTTAACAGCTAGTTGTTAGGTGTAGTCTCAAGATGTAAAGGAATGTGACGTGTGTCTCCTCTACAGAGATGGTGGTGTCTATGAAGAACGTGGCAGGCATGGACGTGGAGCTCACAGTGGAGGAGAGGAACCTACTATCAGTGGCCTACAAGAATGTGATCGGCGCTCGGAGAGCATCCTGGAGGATAATCAGCAGTATCGAACAGAGGGAAGAGAACAAGGGCGGAGAAGAGAAACTGAAGATGATCCGGGAATATAGGCAAACGGTAAAGCACTCAGCAAAGGCTCAGGGTATATCCACCAATAAAGAAGCTTAGTGTCTGTCAGGAGCACTTACATGGATATACCATGTCTCATTGTCCCACATATGTTTTCCATATTTAAAGAATCTCAGATTGGCTGTGCTAATGTGCAGCTCATATTGATAATAAACACTATAAGCAGCTACTGGACAGACTGCATATGAGTCATAGTTGGCAAATCCTCCGCTCTCTTTTGCTTTTATGAAGGGAAATAAGAGCTGGCTATTAATCTGGGAGGGGCCAGAGTGTGTCAGAGAGATGGGAGAGGCAGTTGGGCTGCAGTCAATGACCTAATGGGATTCAGAGATTGGTAATCCTGCTTTTGTACCTTTTATTTCTTTTGTCGTTCTCCAACTCCCTCAGGGGAACGCATTTTTTTACAGGTTGTTAGCAGCAACAGTGGGTGTCTGCAGACACAGACGTCGTCCACACGTTTGTCGGCACATACAGCCCACATGGTCATATGTTACACCCTCAGAAACATGAGCAGATGACAGCATTTACTTTACATGGACCCTTGTGCTCAGGCAGAGGTGGAAATCAAAATGTTCCAAATGTTTCTGCTGATTGAATAATCATATTTATCGTGTTTGTTTGTTTGGTGGCAGGTGGAGAAGGAGCTGAAGCAAATCTGTGGTGACATTTTGGATGCACTGGAAAGGCACTTACTCCCCTCTGCTGTCATGGGAGAGTCGAAGGTCTTCTACAACAAAATGTAAGCGCTTTGTGGTCTGAATGTAAATGAGTGAATGATCCCTCTCCCTCGCATTATGATGAGCGCTTCAATTCATTCAAAACATTCAAAGCAGTCACACATATGGGCACAGATGCTGTCAAAAGTGCTGTAGCATGTTGGATATGTCTCTATTCACAGACCCTACAGTGGTGGAGCGACGCCAACACACTGTCCTCCTCGTCTTATACACAACTCTCTCTTTTGCTGCAAGACCCCGCCTTTTCATTTGTGCTCGCCAAAGTGTGATGGACTCATACGCCAATGCACTGTGTTGTGCTGACCTCAGCAAATATTGCTAATGGCCTACGGCTAAAAGTTTCCAAGCAGAGCTCACGCATGTGAACTTTGGTTTCTTGTTACGTGTCCCAGTCCACATGCAGTATGTTCTGCGTGTGGCTGCGTGCACCGGACTGTGACAGTTCGGTATGAATACACAAAACTTTACAACCCTGGTTTAGACCTTTAAGATATTGAGAGTTCAGTTCCAGACAGCAAAGGTAGTATTCGAGGAGACCATACAAACTCAGGGAGGTTCACAAAAGGGACACTCTTCAGGAATGTTTTACAGTGAATCCATCAGGACCAAAAAAAGCACAACAATTAACTTGTAATTTTATTCTACTCTTAAGACTTCCATCCAAAGGAAACACTGTAGTCCTGAAAGTTAATTTTATCACCTTTCTTTCTCCAATTCCAGGAAAGGTGACTACCACAGGTACCTGGCAGAGTTTGCCACCGGCAACAACAGAAAGGAGGCAGCAGAGAACAGCCTGGTGGCCTACAAAACTGCCACCGACCTCGCCATGTTGGAGCTGCCACCAACGCATCCCATCCGCCTCGGCCTTGCCCTCAACTTCTCCGTCTTCTACTATGAGATCCTAAACTCTCCTGATCGCGCTTGCAGGTGACTGTTTTTGCAATTCACTCTAGAGCAGAGTATAATCTTTTATTAACATGCCACCCTCCAGAATTTGATCTGAAGTGTTTTGAAGGATTTAAAGTCTCGGAGATGGTGATCATTTTGAGTCAGATTTTTCTCTGATCCCTTCTCAAAGTTTGTACTCAACATGATACCTTATTATGTCAATGAAATGTACCGAAATAAATGTGTATATATATGACACAAAAAGGCAATATATTATTTTGGCCAGTAAGAGATGAGTTCAGCTGGTGGATTTTTTCATCTACCAGCCCCTTGGCCTGCGAGTCAAAGGTTAATTTCAGACACTGAGCTCAATTATGTAACACAGAAGTCGGCATTTAGGAGTGGCACCTCTGTGTGCTGCAAGTCCCCCATTCGTGTTTAAAATATGGCTTTAACTTAAACAGCTTTTATAGTTATGGTTATAGTTGAACAGCACTTTCAAAGTTCTGCAACATACTCTGGATTAGACTGAGAGGTAGACCGCCATACTGCCATTGTTGATCCTGTATCGTCTTTGGCTTTCACATATATTTAAAGGAATATTATCAGAAGCTCATTGCAAGCAAACAAGAATTAAATGACTTGCCTTGACACAGATGGATGATGTAGAAAATATATTTCCACTTACTTTCTGCAGCTTAAAATGAACCAGTAAAGTGTTAAGTATGACCACATGTTCTGATACAGTCAGAGCTCAAAGTAACAGAAGTGTGTTTGTTCAGGTTGGCAAAGGCTGCATTTGATGACGCCATCACAGAACTGGACACACTGAATGAAGACAGCTACAAGGACTCCACACTTATCATGCAGTTGTTACGTGACAACCTGACACTATGGACTTCAGATATGCAGGGAGAGGGTAAGAGTCTCACATCATGGGGCCCCCATTCATCGTATTGTATCTGACGTTTACCTGTTTGTCACTGCAGAACCTCTTTTTCCTCGACTAGATGCTAATGAACTAACGCACTCATCTGTTTCTGCCTATAACCATTTCACACTGGATTTATAACGTGTCCAAATACTGTGAGCAGCGTGATTCATGTCCTGTTGTTCTCATCATCGACAGCAAACACTGAATGCTAGCTTATAATACTGTTCTTCCATTTTTACAGAGAGAAGTAAACCATGCATCTAACTACTCTGTAACTACACCAGTCAGTTAAAGGGATAGTTCATTTTCTTATAAGTGGGGTTGTATGGGGGTACTTTACTTTTTGCTGACCCCTCCATATGTTACAGCTGTAACATGTATTGCACTCTACGGCTGTTGTCAACCAAAGAAAATTTTGGTTGACTGAAATTCTCTTCAGCCAAATGATTGGTCAGTGGGGCTCAAAAAATAAAATCTGCATGTTATCTTTAGCTTAACTAATGCCAGGTTCAGACTACACGACACGTTTGTCCCTTTTGAAAGTCACTGTCAGATTAGGCGATTATGGAGTAATAAAATTTTGCCGTGACTTGGCCGACAGACGATAGGTTGGTCCACGACCAATCATCACTGGTCATTATTCACCACGTGCGTGATGTCATTGAATTATTCTATTTATATTATTATTACTATCATGATTATTATTTCAGTCGCTGTGTCTGTTCATGTCCCAGTCGAACTGTTTTTGTAGTAACATAAAAAGTACCACCAGATGTATGCCAGTGAAAAAATAAGTTCCTGCAAATGTTTCACAATAAAAGCCTTTTTTATAATATGGGATTCTCTCTACTGAAACTATAAAAGGCTTTTAATTTCAAATGGATACAGCTGTGATGCATTAAGTCAAACAGGACCAGTGGGAGTGGATTAAAAAACATTTTTTTTTAGAAAAATACAGTGGAAATGAAAACACTGACACACTGACTTCAGCTGAAGCTTTCAGGACCTGGATCTTTCTGCTCACAGTGTGCATGCTCAGCTACTGAATTGGTCTGTTACAGACTTCCTGTCTTACTGGTCTACATGTGTCTGAGCTGACATCATAACCATCCTACCTCATAAAGATCATTTGCTTCTCCACCTTACAGCATACATAATGAACGACAAAACAACTGTAGTAGCTTGTTAGTTTTTTTTTTCCAAAGCCAGTCAGTTAGATAAAAGTCAAAGGTTTGAAGTAAACTTGCCTAATTTATTTTATGTATAGGGGGGAAAAGGAGGTAGAATGACGTGAAACACAAAAGGCCTTTCATTTAGGTCCAGCGCTCCATTGACCCAGTGTGAGCTTTAGCACCACATTTCAAAGCGCTTTCCATTCAGAGGTGGTGAAATTGTTATGTTTTGTGATTTTAAACGTCTTGCCTTTTATTTTACTTTCTGTTGACTTTGCTGACAAACAGCTGTCTAGCAGCGTTAACATGTGGAAACATAGTGCCCACCCTCTGGTCTGCACGGGTTAGCTGACGTTAGCCTCGGCCACTCTGCACTACACACCAGCTGGGTCGGTTGGGAGCTAGCTAGCGTCACAATACCTCTGGTAACATCGTCCTTGTGGTGAGACAGCGTTGCTTTGGAAACATGGTGGCCACTCCCAGTCTCCCCTTATGTAGCCCTGGTGAGTAAGTAGCTTCATTTTTGAGCTGCAAAACCCCTTTAGCATCGTTTACAATGTTAGCACCACTGGCTGTGCTGACGCAGAGCTCAGAGTGATGCTAAAGGGTGTTTGTGGCTCAAAAATGGAGCTGCTTACTCACCAGGGCGTCCTGGTGGGAGACCACAGAAAGGGCAGTAATCACCGGAAGAGTGGCGCCGCTAGCTAACATTAGCTCCCACCTGGCGGCTGCACAGTGCAGAGCTGCTAAAGCTAGCTAACCAGTGGAGACTGGAGGCTGGGCAGTGGGCACTGTGCTTCCAGGTGTTTACAGCTATCTGTCTGTCTCCCACCAGACCCGGTGGGTGAGCAGTGCAATAAACTGAAGTAAATATTCTTGCTGAATAATGGCACCCTTTGAGGTAGCAGCTTGAGCTAATGTTAGCTGTACACACTGTCAGGACGAGCTGCCTCACTGCTCTGAATACAGGAGGTCCTGATTTTAAGCTTTATTCTTAGAAGATCAATACAAAATAATGTGCTTAAGTTTAATCAGGAGATTCTTTTGACTCTGTCTACCAGTCGTCTATCACGTAGTGCTCAACAGCTGTCACGCTACCTGCTGTTGACGTTAGACAAAGCCTCGCCACTCTGTTGGTCTTTATAAACATGATAGAAACAACAGTCAGTATCTCTCCTCTGTTGTTTCACCACCTCACTGAATAAACATTAAGCCACAGCTGAGTAAATCTGCCTCAGACGATTCTTTTATAGCCGTTAAATTGTCACGAGCTACAACTTGTGAGACGCTGAAAATTTAAAACAACAATAACCCGTTCAGCTTCACTGATTCATTCTCTCTCCTCCTGCATTCATTCCAGCAGTTTGCTGTGTTGCAGAGCGTCCACGACGCCTCTCACTTCTCAGTGACTCGTCATCTCTTGTCTCTCTCTCATTCCCTCTGCTGTAGAGTCCTAAAGGAAACAAAGCTGACTGTTCATTTCCCATGTTAACTGTACTTTGTAAGTGTTGCTCACCCCAAGCCTTGCTCTGTGTGTGTGTGTGTGTGTGTGTGTGTGTGGCTGCCTCTTTCCCTCTCAGCACTAACTCACTCACAGTTTAATAATTCAGTCCACTCACCTGTTGCTTCGTCACTCACTCATTCAGATGGATTTTATATTAACGGTTGGTAACAGGCTGTGATCTGTGATGTTCCCACCACAGTCCTGTCAAACAGGGATTATTGAGTTCAGATAGAACAGCTGAGCTTGGCTCATGTTAACAGAGAGTGTGAGTTTTTACTTTGCTGCCTGTAAGACTTGAGACAAGGGATGTCCTGATCCAGTTTTTTTGCCCCCGATCTGAGTCAGTTGATATTGAAAATCTGCCAATATAGGGTGCAGATCTGATACTTCTGGCGATTGCATTTAGGCTTCAATAATCATGATAGAGGTGTCCATTTTAGATTTATTTATTCATTTATTTATTAATATTTTATTTTAATTTTGCCTTGAAGCTGTCTCAAGGGAATCTCTCTGTCCGTTTTAAGAGAGTATTTTCTCTAGTGTTTGTTACTTCGGTGCAGCCTCTGAATCAGCTGTGTTCAGTGTTTGCGTTAATTGTTTGTCTTTTGCGCAAATTAATTAAGAGATTACTGTTACAGGCTTTTTGCTCGTGGAGCTTTTGTTGAGTCTGCAGCAATGTGATGGGTGTCGTTGCCGTCGGCTCTTCGCTGTCTGTCTCTCCCGTCTCTCCCTGGAGCAGGGAGGTGAAACACCATGCGCCATAGATGACAAAGGAGTTTCTTACACTGAGCTGAAATTAAATGAGCGCAGTCTCCGTTTCTCTCTGTGTTTTGCTTTCATATATGGCGTGTAGTGTTTCGCTGCGGGCGGGGCTCAGCACCTGCTCATGCTCAGAGGCTCAGCTGAGTGGAGGAGAGACAGGCAGCGTTGATGACAGATGCACTCATTGTGTCTTCGCGAGTACAAAAAACATGAGCTGATGTTAAATAAAGGTTTGGATCAGGCGCTGTTTAACTCAGTATAACCGATCCCGAAGTGTTAAACAAAGCCTTGATCAACTTGATTCAGATATTTGAGATCGGATCAGGACATCCCTACATGTGTGTACACCAAGGAGCAGAGGGTTAGATCATGTCATTAGCATGCAAGACTGCCTGCACTGTAGAGTTGGGCGATGTGATAAAATTTTCCAACTAGCGATTGCTAATGTATATTGGCGTGTGTGCGAAGACTCTGTTACTGTACGTTCACACCAGAAGCTTCCAAAGAGGCAAAGTCTTGTCACGGACGCCCAAGAAGCACGACTGTCAAAAATATTTGTGGCAGCTGTGGTCGCTCATCACTTGAATCATTGTCAAACGTGTCAATTTAAAGGAGCGGCAAAGCAGACTACTGGCTTGAAAGCAGCGTAGTTGCTGCTTGCTGTTGTCCAGTCAAAAAGCAAATAGTTGTGTTGATAAAATGCTTTGCAGTATGTCATCCCGTTCAAACCAAGCAAGGAAGACCTGCATGCTACGTCTGTTAGTAACATTACACACTTTAAAACTCACCAGACCAACCAACTACCTCCGCGACACAGTCCCAAGCCTCATTCTTTTGTTTTGGTCTCTGTAACCGAACAGCGACACATTATAAAGGACTGAGTGGGCGCGAACGCAAGTAATCAACTTCTCAATATCTATTGTCGGAACAAGTGCGCTGTAGGAACCAAAGTTACATGGCTTGTTCTCTGGGACCCGCTTCATCGGAGCACGTCAAAACTTTAAAACTTGTTTAACTTTACAACAATCATCCGATTGGTTGTCGCAGAACTGCGTCAGAGCTCATTACCATAAAGTTAAACCAGTTTTAACTCCCCTCTGGACCACTCCGGTTGCTTTGGTCACCCAAGACGCGCGGCTGACGACCAGGTCGCCCAAGTCGCCGGGCTCTCATTGAAAATTAATGACTTCTGCCGTTTTGGACGCTCTGGTCGCTGTTGGTGTGAACGTACAGTTAGTCGTCTTCTGTTCCAGTAAACACCAACTCTGGTTTGGTTGAAAGGAACCCTTAATTCACTGAGTTAGATGTGAAAACATGGTTCCTCTGCCTGCTGAGCTGCAGCAGCGCTCACAGACCATTAGATTGAAATAAAATGACAAACATCACCCAAAAAGAACAGCTGACGACGCACTCAGCCAGTAGCCGATATCTTTTGCCGTCTCCATTGAGAACAGAGTTGTTAAATGTATCTGCATGTACAGACTGTTTTGTCAAAGCTCCCCTGATTTGGTGAAGTTTAAACACTGTTCACACACTCTTTTTCTTCCACTTTCTGATGTCTTCAGTTTTCACACTGTCAGTTTCCCAACACTGAACTTGAATGAGTGACTATGATTCACAGTTTGATTCCACGTTTCACTCCTCACCAAACACTGGGAACAGGTACATTTGGGTTCAGCATGCACCTTTGACTGATGATAAAGATGTTTTAAAAAACATTTCCTCTCGAGAGGTCCAGATTTTTAGAAACAGGTCAGTTGAAACAGATTTTCACCTGCATCCTAGTGTGTGATCCAACAAACGCTACCGGTCAAAAGTTCAAGAACACCTCCATCTTTCCTGTTTTATTGAAATTTACATAGTGTGATGTTTCCTGTTCTCTGGAATTAAATCATGGAGCAGTTTTAGATTATAATATTTTATCTACAACTTCGACTCATTGTCACCTTTTGAGGATGCAGCAGTTGCAACCTTCGTTCTACAATGGAAAGTTTTCCTAACACTGTCGGCAGAAGTTCCCACAAATGAGTTCATGTGGCCGCGGTGCCAAAATCAGCTGACAGACAGATCAGTAACTCCAGTGGAGGGAATGTGTCTTTTTATTTTGTCTCGTATTGCAAATTTTTGCAACAAAAAGGACAAGTAAACAAGGTTTCTGTGTCTTTTTTCCCAGATGACAGGTTGATCAAACACATATGAGAATAATAAACTTAGTGTACAGAGGCCTTTAATTTACTTCTGCTGCAGCAGCTGTTAACACATTACATGTTCCCTGAGCAGAGCTTTTGTAGTCATCTGCATTTTACATCATTTTACAGTTTTCAGTGACCTAAACTTTTGTTTTTAGCCTCTGGCAGTTACCTGTCACCTTTATACCAATTGTCAGGTTATTCACTGGACTTAAACTGCTGAGATTGCTGAAGTAATGGAGGTGTTGTTGAAGCTTTTGACTGGTAGTGTGTCTAAAAATTCTTTATCCTGCAGCAGTAAGAGCAGTTTATCAGCAGCAGTGGGAAATAAAAAAGCACATTGTTTGTACTGAAGTACAATTTTGAGGTACTTGTACTTCGGCTGCTTTATATATCTACCTCACTACATGTCTAAAGCGAATATTGTACTCTTTACTCTGCTTTATTTATCTGACAGATGGTTTCTCAGCAGATTGATGGCAGAACATGAGGTTATAAGACTCAGTAATGCACAGATATGACTAAGTTTGGGACTACAAATTAAACTCATAACGGTATACAAAGTCGTTAGCTCCACCCTCAGACAGCTACAACGAGGCTACACACAAAGTCGGGGTGTAACAGTTCACTGAAGTCACGCTTCGGTTTGATACAGTGCTGTCTCGGTTCAGTAGCCTGGAAATCCAGACCCAAATCTAGAAAGATTTAGGGTCTGGCAATGAGTAATGAAAATGGCCCAACTCGAGGGGCGGCACCAAGCATGCATTTGAAAATATCACTGCACACAAATGGATAACACTAAGACCAATCAGAACAATACACAGGGAGACATATACGCTTAGCTACCAGCGGAGCAAACTGGTAGATTAGACTCTTGCCGTATCCAGTCGGCAAAACAGCAAAAACGTCCTCCTTGCAAAGGAAAGATTCGAGCGCCGTCTTCTGTTCCTCTTTTAGAGAAAAAGCGAAGTCTAACTCGTTCATTGTAGCGGCCAAAGCCATCCGTAGCCATCTTGCAATGTTTACTGACTGATTCCGGACTTCGTCTTCGCAGCGCTGTCGTCATCTGTTTAGCTCGCCTCTGGCCCGCCTATATCAGATACACAGATGTGATTGGTGCAGCTAGGCTCCAACGGCATGGGTAATGAGCATCATTACTGATTGCCAGAGTGACTCGCTGAGCAAATTCAAATTGTGCTCTCGTGAGAACTCTGGATTTCCAGGGTAGCGGTTCAGTACATTTTCGATGTTTTTGAAATTTGAAATGCCAGACAAATTTTCTTCATTTTCAAAATTTTATTTGGAATATTTGCAGAAGAAGAGAAAGATAGTTTGTATCGTGTGTCCTGACTGCTGAGTGTGGACACTTCCTGTGTCTGTCCCTTCAAATTAAGTTTTTGATATTTTTTTTTTTTTTTTTTTGACAAGGCGCAGTTTCAAGTTGTTGTTTTTTTTTCTGCAAATAATCGACCAATGAAATCTTGGCGACTAACCTTTCTGGTCGACGAATGTTTGGTCAACTGTTGGGGGGCAGCCATACTGATTTCTTGCTACTTTTTTGGTCATTTCTTCTTTCGATGCTCATCGCCTTCTTCCCATGTTTTCAAAAGAAATCAAGCCAGTTTGTTCAGGTTTTAAAGGGTTAAACACAGTTAAGACTGTAGATTTTATCCTCCAAATTTAACAAGATATTTCAACGTACTGTTCGTAATGCATACTGAACCGAAAACCTCGTACCGCACAGTTCAATACGAATATGTGTATTGTTACACCCCTGATACACAGTAACATATATTTTTTTGTTATAATTCGACACCATCAAACATGCACACTGGGTACTTTTCACTTGTGATCATTTTAATTGTTCTAAAAATGTAAAATAACGTTAGCATAGCTTTGTTCTTGGCGAGTTCACAAACAGGTTTTAAATGTAACTGTGAACGAACCCTGACGTTGTGTTTTCTGTCGACAGGTGAAGAACAAAAAGAGCAGCAACTGCAAGACGTGGATGATGAGGCCCAGTGAGACAATGCCACCAACAGCCAACAACTTGAGACCCTCCCCTCACCTCCTCACACTCCTCCTCCCTCCACCTGCGGTCTCCTCCTCTTCCCTCCCCTCCCCCACCCTCCAACTCTTCGCCCCGCTCTGCGAGTTCCCCTCCTCTTCCTCCTCTCCCCTCCGTTTCCTTTCTTCCACCTCTGCAGCTCCGTGATCCAGCAGGGCCAAGGAGTTAACAAGTTTATTTTTCTCTTCTTTTTTATTTTTATATTAGTCCTTACATCATTCAAGTAAATAGCACTTAATTGAGACAGGAAATACAATGTTAGAAAGACAAAGATAAAGAGCGTACCTGGGTTGTTTCTTTTTCTGTCGTCCCGGTACAAGCAGTTCTGAAACATTATCTTTGGTTTCATTATTGTATTTTTGTTTGGTTTTTTGCTTTTTTTTCCTCAATATTTTTATCAGTTGCTGGATGTATTGAGAATTTTTTTTCTTAATGTAATTACAGAAATTAACTTTTATTACTGAAAATGTTGACTATTAGTTATGGGAGCTATTTTATCTCTGTTTTAGTGAAATGTCATGCGAATCATTTTATCTGGGCAAAAAAACTACAAGTGCCCTTTTTGTTAACTTAGGTTTTCAGAGGAAGTTGGCAAAATTCGCGATATCCACGTGGGGCAAAGACGTGCTTAACTTTTACACCATAGTGATTCTGTTACCATGTTTTTGTAGTTGTCCTTGGACTGTACTTTGTGCTGAAATACTGTATCTGTGCACACATGCTGAAGGTTGACTTATTGCTCGCCAGTGGTTTTGGGAGATGTCACACTTGTGTAAAAGACGATTCGGCCCCGCTCCTCGACACAGAGCCCTAAAATGAAGATAGTCAGTGCTTGCATGAGTTAACACTTTGTTTTCTGCTGCTTCTCCCCTACGTTTCACTAAAGCTCCTCTGGGTTTAGAGGTTTTCTTTCGTCGCCGTCTCCTTCGTTTCTCCTCTCGTTTTGCTTCATTATGTGTAACTCGGAGCTGATTTGTACTACTGGATATCTGACTGGAGCCACAGACAGGGAATCTGTATTGTTCTTACTGAAACACAGCATGGAATTAACATTAAACAATCTAAATTAAACCTTAAACAAACCGACTCGCTGCCTTTTTTACATTTGTCTTCAGAAAATACTGATGGTTTTGCAGCCTCTTGGCTCAAATATAGGGAACTGTTTTAACAAGATATTGAATGCAGGGTTCACAGGGTCATGGAAAACCTGGAAAAACATGGAATTTCACAATCACATTTTCCAGGCCTCTCTTTATAAGTCTCGCACAAGTTGACACCCTGCAGACCCAAACAGAATCTGCAGATTTTTTTATTTGTTTTCAGCAATGATCCAAAATTAAAATTTGTGGAATTTTGTGGGATTTTTTTTTTTTTTTCCGTAATGTAATAGACAATATTCAGGTATTATAACAATTGTTTTTGAGCCAAAATGACCTCACACAACACATTAAAACCTAAGATAAGTCAATAAAATCCTGAAAAATAAAATGTTGGACACATGGACGTTAGATACCCAGATCAACATCACTTTTCTTGTGCTGCTTTCTGATGCCTTTTGCAAGTTTTAGAAATGGAAGGTTCAATATGGAGCCATTAACAGTAAATCTTATGTTTGATTTATGATTGTAATTCTAACTTGAATACATGATTGTCACACACATGCACAAAGAGGTGGAGGACACTGACAACATTCTGAGTTTACAAGCAGCATCTGTATTCCTAAAATCTGGAGTCCTGGGGGCGCAGATACATATGGGTGTGGATATAATGAGTCGTGCACATTAGCACAGGCGTGTCTTCAGATCAGTGTCAGTCCTGGCTCTCTGAATCTAGATGAACAGTAGCAGAGTTGCTGCACAGAGCAGATGTTGCTTCTGGAGTCTGGTTGGCAACTGTGAGCACGATCATTAATTTATAAGTTCTATTTTTAGTGTCAGAGACAAATATAATCTGCAGCCTGTGGTTCTGCTGTGAGAGTGAAGCTGCTGCTGCTTCTGTGTGAGCAGCTGACGATGGCGACAGACGTCTGGTGACGTGCACGCAGCAGTCGTCAACACTTCCACACGAATGTTTCTGTGAGACAAAGATGGTGTCACTGCGTTTGTGTTGCCTGAGAATTAATCACAGATTAGCGACTACTGTGTGTCTTCATCTCAACTGTCTTTACCTCTGACTCTGTTTCTTTTTCAGGCACTCACGTACGTGCTCGCTCTGGGAGGAGCCTGATGCTTTAACCTTTTGGCTCCCTGGTGTCAGTTACTTGTAACCTCTGCAGCAGTTGCAACTCCTGCTACTGTTACATCATCCATAATAACAGCCCCAGCTCAGAGCTCAGCCTAAATTTAGACTCTCAGGTGAAAGTGGAGGAGCTGGTCAGACAGAAGGAGGGCAGCATGCAGCAAAATGACTTCCTGTGTGTGAACTGCTCAAGATATCTGACCATAAGGGTGACTCCCACCCTTTTTTATGTGCCGCCACTGCCAGGTTAGACTTTCTACTTGACCAGATTGTTGGGCCATGACAGCGTTACGAGAACACACATAGATTCCAGATAGATTTGCGGTGAATATTCCTGCTCCCCAGAGGATGAAACTTTAGGTTATTGTTGCCCCTGTGACCTTTAATCCAGCAGAACTATCAGGACAAAGTTGAGCAAGAAATTACAAAATCTGTTAAAATCTTAACGCCCTGCTGTCGGTCGGTGTTGGGCTGTTAGTAGTTGGTGCAGTGTGTCCTGTCCCATTGGCTTTTTTTGGCTGATTCAGCATGCTGAAGTGGCGACACCAGAGCCATAGAATAGTATTCAAGGGCTCTGGGTGACACAGAGCCTGTTAGTGATTGAAATCACTCTGACAGAAACAGTTAAGCTCAGTGCACGAGAAGAGAAACAGAAGTGAGGCAAGTAAACAAAAAGCTAAATTCAAGAGGGAGTGAGACCAAAACAAACTTCGTACATAAGGTAAAACTATTTTTCTTTAGCTACTGAGTTCTTTATCAGAAACGTCTCCTGATGGTTTGTGTTATTGTTCACTAATGCACAGTAAATATGTTCTTTCAACACTCGATTGTGTTGTTAATGTGCTAACTGGCTAACTAGCATCAAGATGGTGCTCTGGTTTCCCTTTCTGAGTGACGATTACAGATGACCGCCATCTGCTGATGTGGAGAGCTACTTCCTTTTGCGTACATGCTGGTATAAAGCACACCGGGTGCCACTGTCCGTTCCCATCTGCTTCAAGGTTGGACAAGGTGTTGTTGCTTCAGAGATGCTCTTCTGCACACCTTGGTTGGAACCAATGCTTATTTGACTTCCTGTTGCCTTTCTATCATCTTGAACCAGTCTGGCCATTCTCCTCTGACCTCTGGCATCAACAAGGCATTTTGGCTCACTGGATATTTTCTCTTTTTGGGACCATCCTCTGTAAACCCTAGAGATGGTTGTGCTGAAAATCCCAGTAAATACTCAGACCAGCCCGTCTGGCACCAACAACCATGCCACGTTCAAAGCCACTTAAATCACCTTCCTTCCCCCAACTCAGTTAGTGATGTAAAACCAAGAAGCTGCCACACATCAGACCCTCATGAGCCTCTGAGATTTGTTGACAGCCTGGTTACCACATGGTTTCTCCTCTGAGCTGCTTCTTGTAACATGAAACCTCAAGAGGGCAGCAACTTCCAGCTAATCTGACAATACATCCCTCAGCCCTGAAATAATTTCCACAGCACATGGTTGTGGATGTGCTGTGAGGTCCATAACAAAGTGCAACAGCTTGACTTTGCATTTACCCTGTGTGAGGACCCTGATGGTCAGAGGGGTGGGCTCAGGTTGGAGAGTCCTCCTCTACATCTGCAGCCTAATTGGCGTCCACTGGCTTCCTCTGCCTTCCTGTGGAAACTGTGGCGGCGTTCAGTTGTCGGGGCAAGATTACTGCTGGCAGAGTGTGACCCAGGGAACAAACGTCAATGAAATATTATGAACTTCCTCCTCTGCTGCAGAGACAGCAGATATAAATAGTCGGGGTTATTTTCAGGCAACACTTGTGAGATTTACTCAGCCCTGCACTCTTTTTCTCAACACATCTGCTACTTAAACACACTCTGCATCTTTTCTGTGTCCTTGAATCCAGAGTTGAAACTTTCTCTTAAAATTTAAATACATTTTTTAACCCTTTAAGGTCCTGCTGCACGGCTTGGTAGAGCAGATTTAGAGCTAATATAATGTGTTGAATTTGACTGATTGAGCTATCTGTACCTCTCGGTTTAGGTATGTTACGCTAAAATAATCCACTAGATGTCGCTGTGTCTTTAAATAATGTGCCTTTGCATTTTGTCTCCTACAGGAAGTTAGTGACATAAAGTCAATCCAGACATGAGGGCTCTGTGTGGAGGGATTTAAGAGGGATTTATAGTTGTGCAGCAGGTGTAGCCTACGCACTTGTGAGCATTTATTCTTGTGCGGTGGTGTGTCTGTGTCACTCTGCTGTTACACCTCCAAAACACTAGTTGGCAGCACGGCTTCTGTGAAGTGCTGTAAGGTTGAGTTGATTCAAAAACACACAAACACACATTAAACACACATTAAACATGGTTTAATAGAGACAGTTTCAAACACAAGTACACAAATCAGCTTCACTATAACTCGCAGCATTCACAGACAAACACTTGTCTTTATCTGGACACATTTTCCACACAAATACAACATGCTAAAGTTATTAGCACAAGACTATGGAATTTTACATTGTATAAATTAGCCTAGTGGCTAGCTGACTTTTTCTCGACTCATATGAAGCCAGGGACAACAGCAACATTTAACAAAGGTAATGTTAAAAAATTCAGCTCCATTACAACTCACAAGGTTCACTGACAAAACAACTGTCTTATACTAAACATGTTTTCCAAACAAATACAACATGCTAACGTTATTAGCACAAGCCTATGGCATTTTACATTGTATAAATTAGCCTAGCAACGGGGAATAAAAAATTAAGGGAACACTTAAATCACACATCAGATCTTGATGAACAAATTATTCAAGTTAAAAATCTTTATAGATGTACACTGTATAATTTGTTGAGAACAAAATGACGTAACAATGGTCAGTGGAACCCAAAATCATCGACCCACTGAGGGCTGGCTTCAAAATCACACCGAAAATCAAAGTAAAAAACTGAACTCACAGGCTGAGCCAACTCATAATGTGACTCAGTAGTGTGTACGACCTGTGCGTGTCCTGGGGGATCTCCTCCCAGACCTGGATCAGGGCATCAGTGAGCTCTTGGACAGTCTGTGGTGGTACTTGGCGGCGTTGGATGCACCAAAACATAACGTCCCACACGTGCTCAGGTGGATGTAGGTCGGGGAACGAGAAGGCCAGTCAATGGCATCAGTGCGTTCATCATCTGGGAACTGGGCATTGTCCTGCACCAGGAGGAACCCAGGGCCCTCTGCACCAGGACCCAGGGCACTCTGCACCAGGAGGAACCCAGGGCCCTCTACACCAGGAGGAACCCAGGGCCCTCTGCACCAGGAGGAACCCAGGGCCCTCTGCACCTATTTTACGCCTGTCACATGTGCTCAGTGTGAACCTGCTCTGTAAAGGCGGAGTCTCTGTAGCAGGTAAAGAACCCCACTCTGCTCCACCCACATGACGTGATGTGTTGTGTCTGTTTCCCATGTATTTCAGCTGTAAAACAGATGTAATGATCTGGGTGGGAAAGTAGGAAGACAAGTGCTTTTACGACTGTTATGTGACTGGAATTTACAGTAACTGTGGAGGAACTTCCTCTTTCCAAAGCCTTGCTTAATCAGCGCTTGAAATCCACATCATTATGATTGTTCACAGGCATCAGGTGGACGTCTTAGTGTCTTTATCACTCCCTCATGACTTCACCACAGATGATCTGTTTGTGATCGCTGTTTTATTTCACTTTCATTCTACGTGAAACAAAAGCATGTGTGTCGATCTCTGTTGTCAGTTCAAAACTATGTGTTTCTAAATTTAGAGTAAAAGTGGGCAGAGTGTTTGCTACAAAGCTGCGGAGTGTGTGTGTGTGTCGGTGTGTGTCAAGGCCGCAGGTTTCCTG